ACACCTCCTGCACTGCCCAGGAAAAGCAAATATCTTCCATGAAGTCCTGAGTTCTTAATTTAGACCTGTCATCTTGTTCTGCCCACCCGTCCTAGAGACAGAATGTTTCATCCCACAGGCATGTGCAAGTTGAGAAGAGCAGCAATCGTAAGCTGTGGCCAGAGGCAGCTGCACTGGCAGTAGTCTGAGTACCTAACATCCAGGAGAAACTTATCCAACATCAATTTTTAAGGCACAGTGAGCTCATGTGGGAATTATTATTAATGTCAGCCTCATTACTTCTCCTTTTCCCTGTCAGGTTGCATTCTTATTTTTCTAGTTTATTTTTTTTAGTGGGGGAGTGGATCAGGACAGGGGGATGGACAGAGTGAGCAGTCACATGACAGAGACAGACGAAATAAAGAGATATTCTAGTCATCTTGCCACTTGTCAACACCTCTGGTTAAACCCAATCAATATACCCAAATAGCACTTACTAGATAAATTTGGGGAAAAAAATCATTTGGAGGCATATATAAGAATATTCATAGTAGCTTTTTAAAATTTTAATTTGGGGAATAAATTAAACAATGTCTATTAGAATGATACAGGGTAATTCACAGTATTAAAGAAAAAGCTGAAGAACTAGGTTTTTTAAAAAATTGAAACATAATTCACATACAATAAAATTCACTTTTTAAAGTGTATAATTCACTGTTTTTTAACATATTCACCAAGTTGTACAACCATCACTACTATCTAGTTCCAAACCATTTCATCACCCCAAAATGAAACTCATATCCATTAAGTAGCTATTTCCTATTCTCTCCTTTCCCCAGCCCCTGGCAACTACTGGCCTACTTTCTGTCTCTATGAATTGCCTATTCTGAACATTTCATATAAGTGGAATCATATAGTTTTCCTTTTGTGTGGCTTCTTTCGCTTAGCATAATATTTTCAAGTTTCAACCATGTTGTAGTCCTCATCGAGTACTTCATTCCTTTTTCTGGCTGAATAATATTTAATTGTATTGATAGACCACATTTTGTTTATCCACTTCGTTAATTTACATTTGAGTTGTTTCTACATTTTTGACTATTATGTATAATGCTGCTAGGAACATTCATGTACAAATTTTTGTGTGGATATATATTTTCAGTACTTTTGGGTATATACTAAATATTGGAATTGCTGGATCACGTGGTAACTTTATGTTTAATATTTGGAGGAACTGAAAAACCATTTTCCAAAGGGACTGCACCACTTTACATTCTCACCAGCAATATATGAGGGTTGCAATTTATCCACATCCTTGCCAACACTTAATCATCCCCTTTTTTATTATAGCCACCTTAGTGGGTATGACGTGGGATTTCATGGTGATTTTGATTTGCATTCCCCTAATTGCTAATGACGTTGAGCATCTTTTAATATCCTTATTGGCCATTTTTTATATCTTCTTGGGGCAATGTATATTCAAGTACTTTGCCCATATTTAATTAGGTTATTTGCATTTTTATTGTTGAGTTGTAAGATTTCTCTATTTTATATATATATATATATATATAATCACTTCTCTATAATTTATAGGTTTTTTTCTCCCATTATGTGGGTTGTCTTTTTATTTTCCTGATATTGTCCTTGAAGCACAAAAGTTTTAAATTTTGATTAAGTAAAATTTATCATTGTTTTCTGTCTTGTTGCTTTCCTTTTGGTGTTGTATCTAAGAAACCATAGCCTAATCAAAGGTCACAAATATTTATACCTATATTTTCTTATAAGAAAGAAATATTTAATTATAAACATTTTTATGTTTTCTTATAAAGCTCTTTTAAGAGTTTTATAGGTTTATGTCTTTCATTTAGAGGTTTGGTCCATTTTGAGTTAATTTTATATATGGTGTGAGGTAAGGGTCCAATTTGATTCTGTTTTATGTGGATACCCAGTTGTCACAATGCCTTTTTTTGAAAAGCCTGTTCCTTTCCCATTGAACTGTCTTGGAACTCTTTTTGAAAATCAATTGACCATAGTATAGCAACTTTATTGTAAATGGTTACAAATTAGAAACAGTTCAATGTCCATTAACCAAAGAAATGCATAAATAAATTGTGGCATATCCATATAATGGGGTACTACACAGCAATGGTAAGGAATGAATATTGCTACATACAGTGTAATGGATAAATCTCACAGACATTACATTGAGCAAAGAAAGCCAGAAACAAAAAAGTGCTCTTTTTTTGAAATATTTATTTATTTATTTATTTGGCTGTGCAGGGTCTTAGTTGTGGCACGTGGGATCTTCTTTTTTTTTTTTAACATCTTTATTGGGGTATAATCGTGGGATCTTCTTTTGCCACGTGTGGGATCTTTTAGTTGCAGCATGTGGGATCTAGTTCCATGACCAGGGATCAAAACTGGGCCCCCTGCATTGGGAGCATAGAGTCTTAGCCACTGGACCACCAGGGAAGTCCCAAGACTGCTCTTATATGAATCCAATTTATATGAAGTTCAAGGACAGGTTAAACTAATGATTGTGACAGAAGCCAGAATAGAAATTACCTGGGAGACGGGGATGGCATTGACTGGGAAGGGGCGTGAAAGGGTCTACTGAGGTAATGGAAAGGTTTTTGTATTTGTATCTTTATCTGGATAGCATTTGTATGAGTATATACATATGTCAAAATCTTATAGGTCTGTCTATATTGCTGACTTATACAGCAGTTTGGAAGATTCAGACATCTTCTGTGACATTTTAGAAGAGTGTTAGCTGCAGTTTTAGGATGCTTCAGAGTAGCTCTGATTTTCTCAAAACCTAATTATTCTCTCTCACCTTCTCTTAAAATAAAAAGGCAGTACATCTACCACAGGACACTGCTGACCACAGGGAAGAACTTTACATAAGGTCTGAGTTTGTCCCTGGGTAATAATTTAACCGTTCTTAGACAATTTTACCTATATGCCCTGACTTCTTCAAAACAGATGAGAGTTTATGTGGCTTTTTTCTCTTTTAAAAAGGCAATTTGTTAAACTTATAATGAAAGACAGTTTAATTTGTATGCTTTGGATAAACAGTTTGACAAAAGAGGGGGGAAAAGTCCTTTGTTCATCCCCTGGGACCTGATATGGGGATTTGGCAATATGCCCAACTTGCCTAGACACAGGTCTCAAAGCCAAAGTTACAGAGACATGTTAAAATTCATGCCACATGATGTTTATTACATGGGAGGGGCTCTGGATACCAAACAGAATAGGCTGTCTCAGACACCCAAAGGCCAGAAACAGCTGCTATGGAGATTTCAGATGCCTATATAAGGAGTTTATCTCAAGGGCAGGACTGCTCTTTGGCTCCTGACAATGTTTTTCTGTTTCTGTGAGCAAGAGAAGGATACAGGGGAGTTGTCCAGACCAATATGCTGGCCCTGTGCCCATGACACTTAATTCCCTTGTCATGAGGGCTGTGAGACCACTGATGGTTTTTGTTCTTAATGAGAAGATGGGGTAGGGAGGGAAGCGTGCGTACTGAGGGTGACACTATGGGCCAGTAATCGAAACAACATAGGAGGTAACATCTTCAGCTTGTGCAAAAATGGATTTTGTAGTCCACTTTCTTCTGAATGAATGCATGGGAAAGAATGGCCCAGTTGATGGTGGGAAAGGGTGCATTCAAGCAAAAATGCCAGACAGGATGACTTATCCCATCGCTATTGGGGACTTTTGAAGGGAGGAGTGGTGGTCTCTCAAGGTGCACATTCACACTCTCCTCTCTTCTGACTGGAAGTACATACTTAGGACTTTCAGTACTTTGAGAAGCCACCTGAAGTTCACCTTGGCATGAAGTTAAGGAGTGCACAAAAGAATCTCACCCCACCTTTCTCTTTGAGTAGTGCAAGCCCCATGTATCAGTTACTTACATTAAAATTCACCTTTGTATAAAATTCTCTGTCTACATACTTAACTCTGTCTTATTTTGTATAGCTTTTCAAATCCTTCAGAATGCTTTTATGGACCTTAGCTCATTTAATCATCCCAAGACCTATATAAGGTAGGTGAGGAATATACTTCCCCCTTTCTTCAAATTAAGTAACTAAGGCCAGAAAAAATAAAGTGAATCATCCAGGATCATAGGTTGAACGAAGAAGAGCCAAGTAAGTTGACCAACCATCCCAATTTACCTGAGACTGTCCCAGTTTTAACACTGAAAGTCTCATGTCCTGAGGAAGCTTCTTAGTCCTAAGCAAAACTGGATGATTGGTTACCCTATATCCAGGATAGAACCCATATCTCCCAACACTCTGACCAATGCTAGTGCCACTGCCCTATGCCATTTGTATTATGAGAACTGTTATGTGACTAGTGTTTCCTTTTATCTACACCTTAGTGTACCAGCACATTTCTTCATGCTGCGTCATTCTCCCCTCCTACCCAGACAAGGACAGAAGCAATGACAGCTAGTTCTCCTCAAACTTAAAGACAGTTTTGGCAAAAGTGAACCATGTTTCAGCTTTCTCATCAACAAAGGAAGGATGATAATCTCTATATTGTTTACCTCACATGGATGTTGTATGGATCAAATATAATGGGTATTAAAGTGCTTTCTAAACTGTTAATAGCTGGTAACATGTGAGAGATTGTGGTTATTCTCTACTCCCTAGGCAGAAGCCAGCTCCTTGTCTTATTCTCTTTCCAGTTCAGCAAGTGTTATAGCCACTAACTGTGTGAACTTTGGTGAATCCCTTGGTCTCTGTGCTTCATTTTCCTCATATGCAAAATTAGGCTAATAATAATTATTTATATGGTTGTTTTAAAGGTTGAATTATTACTTGTAAACCATTTAAGAGTTCTTGGCACATGGTCAGTGCTATATATGCATTAGCTGTTTTGGGTTGGCTTTCTCAACCCTTATAACCCAGGACCAGAGAATAGATTAAGAGGCCCATAAACCAATTGACATGGAAGCCACTACTTACTTTGAAATCCCTTTCCACTAGTTCCCTAATTGTTGTGTTGTGTACCCATAGCATTCCTACCATGGATTGCCAAGAAAATGAGTACTGGGACCAATGGGGACGGTGTGTCGCTTGCCAACTCTGTGGGCCTGGACAAGAGCTCTCCAAGGTAAGTCCCCCTGGTCAGGATACTTATTTCTGTCACATCTTAAGAACCAGACTGGCAACGAAGAGAGTCCAAAATTAGCAGAATCATCCCCATCTGTGTCTAATCAGTTTAGTAGATAAAACAAACCAAAGATTATGACAGGGGACTTCTCTGGTGGTCCAGTGGTTAAGACTTCACCTTCCAATGCAGGGGGTGCGGATTCCATCCCTGGTCAGGGAGCTAAGATCCCACATGCCTCAGGGCCAAAAAAAATAAAACATAAATCAGAAGCAATATTGTAACAAATTCAGTAGACTTTTTAAAAAAATGGTCCACATCAAAAAAAACAAAAAACAAAGATTGTGACAATAGCAGTCACAACTCCATTAAGAAGTCAACCTGGCAACATCAGGGGCAGGGGAGGATTCCATGAGATAGTGGGGTATTTCAAGAGTAAATGTGTAATGCAAAGGCCTAGGAAGGCTGTTTGGTATTAGGGACATATGTCAACTAAAGAAGGGCCCACTCATTTGTGGTTCAGGAGCCAGATATCAGGTCTTGGGAATTGGAAAGAGAGAAGAACTGAGTAGTCTGAAATGTGGCCTCTGTCTAGAGGGACTGGGCCACTGAGGAAACTGCAAGAGAGGCTTCATTGATGGGGAACTAGGGAGGGTCTAGAATCCCAATTAGTGGTAAGGGTCAGAACAAAACCACCCACAAAGCAGGGATTTTATACACAGCCCTGGCTTGCAGAGCTGGAGCTGCTTAATTGTTCCTGCTTCAGGTCCCTATTGGTCCCAAAACCTGGGGGTGGTATTAAATTTAGGCTGCAGCTGGGAACACAAAGCCTGGGAACAGACAGTCAGCAGATTTTTTTTTCACACTCACATATTTTATGCAGTTGTTCATTAATTCAGCAATTACTTATTGAACACCTACAAAGTGGCAAGCATGATTGTAGCCACTGTGGGTATGGTAAAACAGACAAAATTCTTTGCCTTCATGAACCTTACCTTTTAATTAGTGGAGCAAACAATGAACAAGATACATACATAGATATGGAAGTATGACAAGAATTATTTACAGTGACCTGATACAGAGTGACTGGGTGGCTGCTTAGATCAGGTAGCAAGGGAAGGCCTCTCTAAGGAGGTGTCTTCTGGGGAGAGAATACAGCTAGTGCACAGTTCCAAGGTGAGAATGACTAGGCATGTTCAAGAAAGAGGAAGAAGGTAAGTGCAGCTGATGATTGGTGAGTGAGAGGTAGACTAGTACATAATGAGGTCACAGAGGGAAGTATCGGCCAAACCATGGGAATCTTTAAGTTTATGATGAGAAATTTTAATTTTTTAAAAAGCACACCAGGAACCCTTTGGATGGTTTTAGTTAGGAGAGTGACATGATACTCTGACTGAAACAAAATGTATCAATTATTTAGCCAGCCTCCTTCCTACCTCCCTATTTCACAAATGAAGAGACTAAGGCCCAGGGATATTAACAGACAAGCACTGACTCTAATTTTAACTCTTTACACATAGCATTCTATACCACAGTGGGGTGCCCACATGGTTAATAAGGGATCCCAAGTCTTCAGAAGTTAGGTCATGCTAGACATTAGGATGGACCAGATGGAATAAGCTACTTAGCTTGACAAAATCTATTTTGAATATCACATTCATCTTCATGATCAAAAGGCTCGGCACTCCTATAAGAACAAGCTCTGAGAAATGTTCCTGTCATGTACATGGCCATTACCTTTAAAACCATCCATATTTACAAACCTGAATTTCTCCAAGGGAGAAAAATAGGTCTTTCTGTTAAACTGCTGTTACCAAATTCTCAAAAAGTGGCCCATGATGAAATGTGCATTTGTCTAAGCACCTCTTTGGTTGTCATTTATTTCAGCACCACTAGAAAGCTCAGAAAAAATGAATGAACTGCAGTATTGTGTTCCTGAAACTGCTTTATGTAAAAACAGCTTGTACTTGTATAGCAGTCTGTACTTTGTAAAGAGCTTTCATGTGCATTATCTCATTTGGCTCTCGAGTCTCACCAAGAAGGTATTATAAGCCCCATTTTAGATGTTGAAACTGAGACTCAGAGAGCGTATGTGACTTGCTCAAAGTCACAGTGGTTCAGTAAAAATTGAATACACATGGGTTTGAGTCCCAGCTTTGCAGTGGGCAAATTAATCTTTGATTAAATTAAGATGTACTAAGTTAAAAGTAACATAAAACTTACCAGTGACTTGAACCATAAACAAATTTATTTATGTAATGAAATTTGGAAGCAGGGATCCTTGTGGTTGGGTGGGCAGATCAACAATATTGTCAAGGACCCAGGCTCTTTTTATCCTACATCCTGGGCACCCTGCTATTTTTTCCTCATGCTTGTGGCCTCTTGGTTACCATAACTCAAAGCATTACATCTTCACATCAGAGTCAAAGTCAGGAAGAAGGGGCAGAGACAAAGTAGCGTGACATTGTTAGTGAAGAAGTATTTTCCTAGAAGCTCCACAACAGATTTCCCTTTGTATGTTATGGGCCAGAGTTGGGCATTATAAGTATCTCAAAACTGCTGGGAGTGCTAGGACATGAGTACCTGGCAAACAAAAATGGGATTTCCATAATGGACTAAGGCCAATCAAGAATCACTTCTTGGACTTCCCTGGTGGTGCAGTGGTTAAGAATCCGCCTGCCAATGCAGAGGACATGGGTTCGAGCCCTGGTCCAGGAAGATCCCACATGTCACAGAGCAACCAAGCCTGTGTGCCACAACTACTGAGCCTGCGCTCTAGAAGCCACAACTACTGAAGCCCGTGTGCCTAGAGCTCATGCTCTGCAACAACAGAAGCCACCGCAATGAGAAGCCCACACACCACAATGAAGAGGAGCCCCGCCTCGAGGCAAATAGAGAAAGCCCTCGCACAGCAACAAAGACCCAATGCAGCCAGAAAGGAAGGAAGGGAGGGAGGGAGGGAGGGAGGGAGGGAGGAAGGAAGGAAGGAAGGGAGAGTCAGTTCTTGAGGCTGGTCACTTTGCCACCCAGAATGAAATCAGTGTTCTGTTAGTAAGGAAGAAAATGGGCAATGACTTTTGGATAAGGAATTAACAGCATCTGACACAGGCTTGTTTTTATAATTTCTTTTATTTAGTTTTAAAGTTCACTCATATGAACCATAAACATCACTGTAAATAAAACTTTAGAGAAAATCAGCACTCTTTCCTCAGGACACATTTTTAGAAGTATAATTGTCAAGCTAAATAATGCATACAGTTTTAAGATTCCTGTAATATATTAGCAGATAACACTTGTGATATTTTTTACTAATTTCTACTATAATTACATTTATTTTCAACATTTCATGGAATTCTTATATCCCAGAAGCCTAACCACACATAAATAATGTGTGTTTCTATCATCTATTAATTTTGTCTTCCTTTGTAACATTAAATTACTAACATATGAGGACTTCACATTCTTTTTTTTTTTACTTTTATCACCTTTTGGTGTTTATTTGCAGTTTTGTGAACCGTTTCTGTTTGCTTGTTTTTTCTGTTCTATTCATTGTTTATTGTTCATTCTTCACTCATGTAAGGCACCTGAGTAGAAAAACAGAAGAATATGGGGTATTTTAAAAATCATTTATATAATGTGTAATACTTTTAAAAATCAGAAATGGTCTTGAATTTTATTTCATTTTATCATTCATTATCTCTTGACTATTTTATGTATGTCCCTTTGATATATTAATTTGATGACATATATTAATAAATTCCAAAATTAAAGTATCTTGCATCCCAAGGATAATTTTATTCTGATTTTGGATTAAATGCCCTCTTATGTTTTATAAGTTAATATTTTATTTATAATAAATAAGTACTCAGCGCTATCAGCATCAAAAGTTATTTAAGAACTGTGCTAGCTTGGTAAAATTAATTAAGAAGATCAATGTTTTTCTGGTTATAAAACTGGTTAGTAGCAAAAGAGTTTTGGGGGAATTGATCATTTGAACAAATTTTCTTTGCTTCCTCATTAGGAAAGAAAAATTTCAATATAAATTTTTCATGATAATTTCTTCCTTTTTAATTCCTTAAGAAATGAAATATCTATTTATTCAAGGAACTCTTGTTGAGGACAATTCGATAGTGTTTATCCACTATGCCAATCTCTGCTCTTAATTGGTGTACTTAAACCATTTATATTTAAGGTAATTGTTGATATGTTAGACCATTTTATCATTTTTTTTTTGTTTCTTATTCTTCCGTTTGTCTTTTCTTGCCCCCCTGTGGGTTACTTGAACATTTTTTTTTAGGATTCCATCTTGATTTATTTGTAGGGTTTTGGTACAGTTTCCTTGAAATCATTCTGGGTACAGTAAGTCCCCTACAAAGTTCAAGTTGCGAACTTTCAAAGATGTGAAAATGCATTCCATCAACATCAGGTGTGAGTGAACTTGAAGCTTGCCTTCCGTCTCCTATTGCTGATGATCCTTCAGCTCTACCATCTCCCACCTCCTCTCCCTCCTCCAGTCAGTAACTCTTCTTGCCTGTTCACTCAATGCCAGCCCCTGTATGCCAGCTGTTGTACTGTACTACTATACTTTTCAAGGTACTATACTGTAAGATTCAAATGTTTTCTTTACTTATGTGTTTGTTTGTTATGTATTATTTGTGTGAAAAGTATTATAAACCTATTACAGCACAGTACTATGTAGTCGATTGTATTTGTTGGGTACCTAGGCTAACTTTGTTGGACTTACGAACAAATTGGACTTAATGAACACACTCTAAGAATGGAACTCCTTTGTATGTAGGGGACTTACTGTATTACAATATACACATGTGACTTAACACTCTCCACCGTTATCAACATTTTACCATTTTTTACCATTTTTAGTACAGTATGGAAACATTACTTCTACTTAGGTTCCTATACTTTCCTCACTTTCAAATATCATTGCTTTGACTATCAGGTAATTTTATGATTTTTTTTTTTTTTTTTTTGCGGTATGCGGACCT